TCCGGGATCGAGTCGAGCTCTTGGGGTGGTGCCCACACAGGGTGTTCCATCATTCGAGCGAACTCCTGGGCCGCAGCCTCAACACCACGAGGGGTCTTGAGGTACTTCCTCGTGTCCATGAGTTGGGTGACGTGCGCCGCCTGACGCCCGAGCACGTACATCACCTCAGAGTCCAGCTCCTGCCGGACGATCTCGGTCGAAAAGGCTCGGAAAATATCTGAGGCTGGAGGTGCAACTTGGAGATCGGGCTGAAGAAACGAGGTCTTCGTAAACAACGTGACGACTTCCTCTAGGGATGGATCCGGGTACCCGTCTTCATCTTCAGACGTACCAGAGGATGCCAGAGACGACGGTGTGCTGAGGTAGGGCTCGGAATCCGAGCCTGACAAATCATCCGAAGATTCTACGCCTACGTGGGCAACACGACGACGGGTCCTCCGAGATGCTTCCGGCTGAACTGTCCTGCGATCGCGCTGACGCGCGTGGTAACGCTCCCGCCAATAGCGTCGTCTCTCCTCGGTCGTGGCCCTCTTGCTCGACCCAGCCACGGGAGTCGTCTGAGCCTCCGCCGCCGGTGGGGGTCCAGTCGGGCGAGGCGCCTCGCCGCGACTGTCAGCTACGCTACCCGGCTGCGGGGGACTCTCCAGGAGAATATCTGCCTCGATGTCGCTCGGGGCAGCTCCCACATCCAAGGGTACATCCAAGGGTACTGGCTTCGAGGACGGAGAGGAGAGCGGGAAGATCGTCTCGCGGAAGCGCACAGTGGTGCATACGATCGGCCGCTCGACAACCCACCGCTCACCGAGCGGGGTGATCGGAGCCACCCGTATTCCCCCAGAAGTTTTCGAATCGAAGCCGACGAAGATCCCGAGCTTTGCATGGGAGTCGAACTTGTCGGTCCGTTGCGGTTTGTGCACGAAGTACAAGACTTTACATCCCCACGGGGGCCATTTGGAGACATCGTGAAACGAGCCGTCTGGGTTCTCCAACGCGTGTGGGACCTGTTTCTCGGCGAAGCCAGGGACCTCATGGGGTGTATTGTCGAAGATGTTGTTGGCATGCTGGTAAGCTTCATCCCAAAGAGCTTTCGGAGCAGAAGCTTGCAGGAGAATGGCCCGGGTAAGCTCGAACAGGCTCTGGATGCGACGCTCGGCAATGCCATTGGCCTGCGATCGAAAACCACCAGTGTCTGTATGCACAATGCCACACTCGCGTAACCATTTTTCACACTCTCCCAAAAATTCCGTGCCGAGGTCAGAATGGAAGCGCCACAACTTTCGCTGGTGAAGTTTACATGTTATCATAGCGTCCCTAACTGTGGCCGATTCTTTGTTCGGTAGTCCGAGTGCGAATCCGTGACGAGATTTCCTGATGACCAGTGCGAGGCCATACCTGTTACCATTCAGGGACAGTGGAAGTGGGCCGACCAGATCTGCTGATATTTCCCCCCCGCCACTCTCGTCGGAGATGCGCCGGGCGGGGCGTGCACGAAGCTTGGCTTGGACACAAATGTCGCAATCTGGGTCGTGATCGATGTGCCCCCGTCGAATGTGATCCAAAATGGGCCCCTCTAAGATGGCGGATTTTTCGGGATGGGGCCCAGACTCCGGGAAGAATAACACAGGAGTGTCGGAACCAGAATTGCGCAGGAAATCGATGCAGGAATCGAGCTTTGTGAAAACTGGGACGGCGTCTTCTCGAATGGCGAATCCGGCATACGTGTCGAAGGAACTACTGGCCGTTGGATGGATGCACGGCGTCGCGGTTCCAGTTGGGCGAGGCTCCTCGCCACAACTGTCCCCGAGAGCACCAGGAGGCGGACGCATTGGACGAATCGACAGGTCGGTTCCAGTCGGGCGTGGCTCCTCGCCACGACTGTCCCCTGGCCTGCCGGAAGGCGTTCCTCCTCTTCCTCCTCTTCCTCCTCTTCCTTCCCCTTCCTGCTCCTTCTCCTCCTCGTTACCTATACGTACTGGCAAGTAGTGAAAAGTGGAGGGGGAAAACGTCGAGGAAACCATGTTCAAGGAACCGGTACAAGTATGCCCCCCCAAGTAGAATAAGTTTCCCTCCCTGATCAAGTTGTACTGCTCTCCCGCTGGGCTCGCCAGCGTCGCTCCGAACCTTCCCTGCTTGTACTCCCACCCGTTGTCTGTAAGTAGAGCTATGGATAAGAGGGAAGAGCTAGCTACAGTGCAGAGGAGACAAGATTGTAGGTGAACGCCACAGCAGACAACGTCTGCTTCCTCGGTGACGAGCGTCTCGCCGTTAGCGGTCTCGAGGATGATGGGTTGCGCCAAGGGGCGCCGATTCTGTGCGTACGCGAAATCGGTGCCGCATAAAATATGCCGCTCGGCACCCGAATCGGCGATCAGACGGAGGACGTCGCACGCAACCCCGTGCTCGCCGATGCTGATGGACTTGAACGTGAGACGGACCATTTGACCACTCAGTCTTTGCAGGAGGTCTTTGGTGCCTTTGTACTCTGTTTTCAAGTGTTCCATGTACTGCTCTGCTTGTGATGTGAGTGAATCCAGTGTGATTGCGGTTGCTGGTGGGGCGGGCGGTACCGATCCGCCGCCCGAAAATTGACCTGCTTGGTTGGCTCCGATCCAACTCTGTTCTGTGACAGGTGCGAACTTGCCGGCTCCGATCCGGCTCCTTTTCCTCTCGTTGAAACTCGGCTGCGGCACGGGCGTCCCCGGTGCGCCGCCCGAGCTGCTGGTTCCGATCCAGCTGGGATTGGTGTTGCCAAACCCTTTACCTTTGTCCTTGTCTTTGCCCTTGCCTTTGTTCGGGCATTCGTTGCCCCAGTGGCCGGGCTCGAAACACACTCTGCAGACGTCTTTGGGCAAACGTTGCGTTTGTTGGCCCCAGGAGCCGCTTGGAGTGCCAGGGGTGCGCGTGGGGCCCGTGTTGTTGTGGGAGAAGCGGCACCTGTCGCCCATGGAGCACCAGCCGCTCATGTAGAACGAGCGTGGGGTCCACGCGTCCTTGCCTTTGCCTGTCTTGCCGTCCTTGCCTTTGCCCGTCTTGCCGTCCTTGCCAGTTGCAGCAGCGCCAGCTAAGACGCTTGTCGGCGCTGGCGGGGCGTCGGTGGTCGGCGTGTCGTGCAGGAGTGCCCACTCGCCCGCCTTTCGCTCAGCCATCTCGTAGATGGCATGGACATCGTTCGGGTGCGTGTACGACACCATCTCCAAGGTCACTTGGAGTGGCTTGAGCTTGCCGATCAGCCTCCGCAGTGAACGAAGAGCTGTTTGTTGCGAAGGTGCGGAGCCTGCGGCCCGCAACTCGTCGTAGTCAGTCTTCCACACCCGGAGTGCGTGCTGCAGTTTGGTTTTGTCGGTGACCGGCTCTGGGTCGGTAAACTTGTCGTTCAAGGCGGACACGTACGTTGCACTGGATTTCAGGACGGCCCCGGCCAAAGCCGCCACCATGGAGATGCCATCTGTGCGGTCTTCGTCAAAATAAAGGCATAACTCTTCGTCCGCGAGCCCGCAGAGCTCGAAGGCTAACGCCTTGTTGGCTGCGGTGTAGGCCGGGTTGTTGTGCACCGGTGAAGTGTCCAGTTCCGGGTCACTCAGGACCAGTTGCACCGCATCAGCAAAGCCTGCACTTTGCAGGCCGCACCAGCTGGCGAGCTTGGTGTTGACCCACGCGCGCCGCGACTTCACCGACGAAAGGGCCCGGGGACCTTTCGGCAGGGCGTGCAATGGCTGTCTCGAGCTGCTGCCGCCCCCGCCGCCGCCGGACTGCATGGCAGACAGCTCGCGTGCGACCTCGGAGAGACTCTCTCCAAGCTTGCACATGAGGAAAGCGTTCACGTCAGGTGGAGCGGTCGGTGCTGGTGTAGTCGTAGTGGGCTGTGGTGGTGTAGGTAACCCTGGGGGCCCCTCCTGGCGTCCAGTCGGGCGAGGCGCCTCGCCACGACTGTCAGCCCAGAGAGGCGCAGGTGCTGCTTGCCTTCCTGCCTGTGCTGGCGTCTGTGGCGATGACCTACGTGTGAACGGTGTTTTCGGAACAGCAGTGGACGGAACATCACCCGACAGGCGATCAGGAGTGACTTCAGCCAGATCGTCGTCGTCGTCGTCGGGGATCCGAACAGATGCAGCGTCCGCCATCCGATCGATCGCGCGCGAACTAAGGCTAAGGGGAAGATGCGGGCGCTGGGAGCGAAGGGCTCATAACCTGAGGTTGGTGGAGGGCCCCCCCCGGCGCGGCCTTTTCCCTGGGCCTCTTGAGCCAGAGGCCCAAGCGCGAGGCCAAGCAGGGTGGCAGCATGGGGCCTGTCCCCGCAGGAGGAGGAGGAGGAGGAGGAGGAGGAGGAGGAGGAGAGGAGGAGGAGGAGGAGGAGGAGGAGGAGGAGGAGGAGAGGAGGAGGGGGAGGGGGAGGGGGAGGGGGAGGGGGGGGGGGAGGGGGAGGGGAGGGGAGGAGGAGGAGGAGAGGAGGAGGAGGAGGAGGAGGAGGAGGAGGAGGAGAGGAGGAGGAGGAGGAGGAGGAGGAGGAGGAGGAGGATGAGGAGGAGGAGGAGGAGGAGGAGGAGGAGGAGGAGGAGGAGGAGGAGGAGGAGGAGGAGGAGGAGGAGGAGGAGGAGGAGGAGGGGAGGCGGAGGCGGAGGCGGAGGCGGAGGCGGAGGCGGAGGCGGAGGCGTAAGCAGAGGAGGAGGAGGAGGGGAGGAGGAGGAGAGAGGAGGAGGAGGAGGAGGAGGAGGAGGAGGGAGGAGGAGGAGGAGGAGGAGGAAAGGAGGCGGGGAGGGGAAGGAGGCGAGGCGGAGCAGGAGGAGGAGGAGGAGGAGGAGGAGGAGGAGGAGGAGAGGAGAGGAGGAGGATAAGGAGAAGGAGGAAAAGGAGGAGGCGGAGGAGGAGGCGGAGCAGGAGGAGGAGAAGGAGGAGGAGGAGGAGGAGGAGGAGGAGGAGGAGAAAAATGAGGAAGACGAGCAGGAGGACCAGGAGGAGGTCGAGGAAGAAAAAGGAGGGGACGCGCACAGTGCCTCCTGGACCCAAGGGTGCGCGCCCTTCGATACGTGGGGTGGTTCCGCTACTCCACGGACATCGTTGACATCAGCGCGCACCGCCTCCTGGCGCACCCGCCAGGACAGGGGCAGGAGGAGGAGAAGGAGCAGGAGGAGGATGAGGAAGAGGAGGAGGGGACGGAGGATAATGAGAAGGAAAGGACGAAAAGAGGCCTTGACACGAACTGGCCTTTAATTCCGATCTGGTCCGATGGGAAGAGGGGGAGGAGGACCAATGTAAAACCCAAGAGTCATCAACGATGTTGCACTACCCTCCCTCCAAGTTCATTGTGCGTAGGTTCTTACAAGAGTCACTGTCACGGAGGGAAGTGCCCCGTTGGAAGGCAACCGTCTGAATATCCAGAACCGTGCCACAACACCATTCCTGGGATTTCGACGCCGCTAATCAACGTCACTGTTGCGCCCTGGCAGTTTTTTTTCTGGATCTGCGGGGCGAGAGCGAACCTCTTCCGCTAAAAGCTAGGCGGGCTACGCACAGCTTTAATTAGGGAGACAGGGCACAGGAAGGCGGGGCCTCAGGCGGCCTGAGCGGGCGGGGCCCGGGGAGCTGGCGGTGCCGAAGTGGATGTGCAGGAAAAGGTACGCCTTGGACAGGGACCGAGGGCGAAGACCCGGAAGGCGAAAGAAATGGTGTTGCCGTCAACGGCACTTCGCGAACACCAGCCTCGAGCAGTGCGGGGGAGGACGCGCCACTTGACCAGGTCGACGCCCAGGAGGAACAAGAGCACCACGAAGGCGATGAGCAACGTTGTGCCACCAGATGATGCAGAGGAGGCCCGGGGTGGTAGTCCAATCCGCGACCAGGTAGCAGTGTAGCTTGAGGTGCGGCCTCCAAACGAACGGGCCGTCCATGACCGACAGGAACTCGGTGAGCTGCGGGGAGAACGCATGCCCTGCATCGACAGCGCGTGAAGACGGGCAGGAGCCACACACGATGCGCTGACGTTCGCAAAGCCAAGGGCCGGGCCTGAACCGCGCAGCGCCATGGCGAGCGGGGCCGCCGAGGCGGCAAGGTGCAGCGCCTAACACTGGGCCGAAGCCGCGCAGTGCCGGGCGCTGCCGCCATGGGAAGGGGGGGAAGCGAGCGGGAGGGGAAGAAGCGAACAGGAAGGAGAAGAGCCGGCTCTCACCGCCAGCCGTCGAGGTACCAGCCCGCAACATCGGTGCTCACTTGGGTGGAGCTGGGCACCCAGTGGGATCAGGTGGGACACGCGGTCCCAATACACGTTAAAGACAGGAGTGGGGGTGGGGAGCAGGTAGCACAGACGGGGACTAGGTGGACCAGTAGACAAACGCCGGTGCGTTTGGACAGGTAGGCCCGGGCGGTCCAGAAGAGGGAGGGCCCAGGGGACCAGGGGGACAAGCGGTCCCATAAGGAGGTGGAACGGTGGGGATGGGGGGCGGTATCGCCGGCGTACCAAGCCGTCTGGTGGAGCCGTGCACGTACCATGTGCACCGCTACAGCGCCCGTCATGCTGCGCGTGCCTGCCCTGTGCACGTGACGGGGGCGCCCGTGGGTTGCCAGGCTCCTGGACCAGCCTTCCAACCAAGGCCGTGCGGGAACAGGTGGGGGGGATCAGGAGGACACGCGGTCCCACGCCAGGGGACAAAGGGGGAGGGGGAAGGGGGATCAGGTGGTGGGCGTGGCCACGTCATTGTTGCGCCCTGACAGTGGCAGAACACGATTTCTGGAACGTCCACCATGATATTCCATAAGAAGAATGTGAATTTTGAGAACGGGTGTGCGCGGCGCTCAGACGAGAGTCACATTTTGAAAAGCTGCCGCCTTCCATCCGTGACGCTCATGCGAACCTTTAGGACGAATATGTGCGGCGCTGAAGCGAGAAACACATTTTGAATTCCACCCGGCCTCCATCTGTGAAGCTCTTGCAAGTTTTGTTCGACGAAAGTGTGCGCTCAGACGAGAGCCACATTTTGAATTCGGCCCGTCCTCCATCCGTGAAACTGTTGTGCACCGTCAGCTTCGGAATCTTGCGTGGTGAGGAAGCCTCATGCGAAACGCATGGCCCGCTGTGCCGACGCGCTTCGGGGTGCGACAGGGCGAATTATTGCGAAGGCCCTTACGGCTGGTGCCGCCGACCCTGAAGGGAGACGACGACAACGGCGGTGGCGGCGACGACGACGCTGAAGTGGGCCAGAGTCCTCAGGGATGCTTCTTGGGGTCTCTTCGGAAAGCTTTCGGGGGCCTCTGGGGAGGAATGTTGGGGCCTCTCGGGAGCCTGTTGGGGGCCTCTTGGGAGCCTCTTGGGGGCATCTTCGGGCTTCCTGGGGACCTTCCTCCTGAGAGCCTCCCGGGGCCTCTGGGAGCCTCCTGGGAGCCTCTCTTGACAGCAGGCGTTTGGGGCTGTGTTGGGGTCCTCTCGGGCTGTTTTAGGGCCCTCTTGGAGGCCTCTTGGGCCGTCTTGGGGCGATATTGGGGGCCTCTTGCGCCGTCTTGGAGCGGCGGGAAGTGGAAACGGCGAGAACGCCCAGGTCTTTAAACAACGAACGGGGAATCAAAACATTTGGCCTCTTGTGTTCCTCGTCGGGAGTGCTTTTGGAGGCTTCTTGGGGCATCCTGGAGGCCTCCCAGGCAGCCTTGATGGCGTGAAGGCGTTTTGGACTGATCGTTTGGCGATCGGGGGCGCCTCGGGGACCTCTTGGGGCACTCTTCGCCCGCCTTGGTGCTTTCTGAGGCCCCTGGACCCCAGGGGGGATGCGTATCTGACCCCCTTCCACTCCGGGACCCCCCCCTGCCCCCCCCCCCCCCTGCCCTCCCCACTGCCCCTTCCAGGTCCCCCCGCCCCCCGACGGGGGAGGGATCAAAGATAAGGGCCTTCCCTTCGACTCGGAAACGATATGATTAGAAGGGGACGACGGAGACGACGACTGACGAGGATGACGACTCGAACAGACAAGCCCCTCACACACGCCGACAGGGCTGGCGGATTCATAATGGAACGGGATAGAGGAGAAGCAGGGAAGGCGGAGTGGGATGAAGGAGGAGGAGTGGGGGAGGAGTCTTAAGAATACACGCTTTCGGATGTCCACGCGGACTTGCACCCGCGCTGGGCCTTCGGTGCAGCAGTCTTCCTCCGTCCGAGGGGGGCCCGGGCGTCGCCGTCACAACGCCGTCGCGGTGGCAGCTTTCTGCCCCCCGAGCCTCCTGGCATCGAGGGGCCGCGTCGACAGGCCCGCCCCTGGGGATGCCGTCGAGAGCTCCGGGGGGGTCCGCCCCACGAGCAAGACCCGTGACCTCGGGCAGGCCTCTGGGGGCGGGGGGGCGAGGCCAACGACCAGTCCCCGTCCCCAGGGGACGCCGGCGAGAGCTCCAGGGGCTCACGCGCGGCCACGTGCGCGATCAGCCGATGCCCGCGGGGCCGTGGAGGGCGTGCAGCATGTGCGCACGCTTCCGCTTGCGGGCATCAGGCGGTCGCAAGCTCGGATCAGGGGGGCGTGGATTAGCGATTGGTCCCGTTTCCACGGGGAATTCCGCCGCCGAGCGAGGCGGCACCGGCCGCACTTTGGGGAGGGCACCTGCCCCGATCCATGGATTCGGCGACCGCGCGCCACGTCCATGGATCGCCAGTCCATGTGCGCGCGCGCCCCCGACACGTGCGCGGTCAGCTTCGGCTTGCCTGCGCCAGAGCTCGATCGCCTGTGCACGCGGGGCCGCGGAGGGCGCGCGTGCGCACACGTTTCCGCTTGCGGGCACGGGGCTTCCCAGGAGGCGGGGGGGGGCTTCCGAGGAGCTCCGCCGCCCTCGGAGAGGGCCTGCCCCGCTCACCTCCGAAATCCCCGACGTCGTGGATTTGATCCACAGCGTGGGCCCCCAGAGGCCTGGACCTCTTCCTCGGGGCCGCCTTCTCGTCCCGAGTTGGCTTGGACGGTACCGTGGCCCAGAGAGGGCCTCGTGTGACGCCGACAATTGCCGACAGCCTCTCGGCGTGTTTTTTTCCACAACGAGGGGAGGTAGGGGGGGTTCGATAGAGGAGGAGGAGGAGGAGGAGGAGGAAAATGAGGAGGAGGAGGAGGAGCCAACAAATGCGAAATGTCTTCCCCATTCGATTGCATGAGTTGATGCGTCCAGGCTTGCATTTGATACGGTAGGGTCGTGTCGTGTCGACCAGCGGCGACCCCAGCGCGGGCGTTCAGGGTTGAACGCCGGCGGCGCCCCAGAATCGGCCCATCGTTGAGCGATCCAGCGTTCTGAAACGGCCGATCTTTCCAGTTTCAATGTCCTCCGCCGTTCCAGGAACCAGCGCCGAGGTCGGCGCGATACGAACTCGCGTCTTTGCCCAGTGCTCAACCCTGAGATCGTCGGGGGTGGACAGAACCCCCAACAGTGACACGTCGATTAGTGAATTGTCCGTGTTCGGTTCTCGAGAGGGCGCCGCGGCCGTTATTTTCCAGGCTTGCGCCCGCCAGGTTTGGGCTTCAGATCGTTTTCGCTAAACCACGTTTTACTAAAGGGGGGTCTGTCCATCCCCGAGATCGACGTTGCGAAACATCGCAACACCGCAACACATCACGACGGGAGTCCCGGACCTCATCCCCCTGCGCCATCTTATCTTCCGAGCCCCATCCATCGGTGGAGGCCCCAGGGCCCGAGACGGAGCGACAGCGCCCGTGGTGAAAAAACTGCAGCGCCAGGATCTCGGGGGACTCCTGCTTGGCATCGCTCGGACGTGTGCGTTTTTTCTCGGCGAGGACCATCGAGGAGCATCTTTGATCATTCAGCGAGAATTGCACGCGCGAGATCGAAAAATACACGGAATGGACGTCCGAGCGATGGCGAGCCTGGGGGTTGAGACTTCTGCGGGGCGGCCCCTCTTGGGGCAAACGCACGACGTCGGCGGGGTCCGAGTCGGGGTGCGCCGAGGAGGGGTGCCAGAGGGAGGAGGAGGAGGAGGAGGAGGAGGAGGAGGAGGAGGAGGAGGAGGAGGAGGAGGAGGAGGAGGATGAAGAGGAGGAGGAGGAGGAGGAGAGGAGGAGGAGGAGGAGGAGAGGAGGAGAGAGGAGGAGGAGGAGGAGGAGGAGGAGGAGGAGGAGGGAGGAAGAAGGATGAGGAGGAGGAGGAGGAGGAGAAGGAGGAGGAGGAGGAGGAAAGAGGAGGAGGAGGAGGAGGAGGAGGAAGAAGGAGGAGGAGGAGGAGGGGGAGGAGGACCAGTGTAAACCCAAGAGTCATCAGCGATGTTGGAATTCATCCTTCCTCCAAGCTCCCACAAAGGTTCATTCCCATTGAGGGAAGTGCCTCGTTGGAAGACAACCGTTTGAAGATTCCGAAGCATGCCCAAACATTGTTCTCGGGATTTCAACGCCATGTATCAACCTGACTGCTGCGTCTTGACGATCTGGAATCGTGCCAGAGCGCCTTTTTTGGAACTTCAACACCGCGGATTGCACCCGCACAGCCCTGAATCCTTCCAAAACACAATTTCTGGTACGCTGGTCTTACACATTTAAATAACGAGTGTGCGCGGCGCTAAGGCGAGAGCCACATTTTGAAAACGACCCGCCCTCAATATGTGAATCTTGCATTTTTTAACACGAATGTGCGCGGCGCTAAGGCGAGAGCCACATTTTGAAAACGACCCGCCCTCAATCCGTGAAGCTCTTGCAGATGTTGAAAACGAATGTGCGCGGCGCTAAGGCGAGAGCCACATTTTGAAAACGACCCGCCCTCAATCCGTGAAGCTCTTGCAGATGTTGAAAACGAATGTGCGCGGCGCTAAGGCGAGAGCCACATTTTGAAAACGACCCGTCCCTCAATCCGTGAAGCTCTTGCAATTAAACGAATGTGCGCGGCGCTAAGGCGAGAACCACATTTTGAAAAGGACCCGCCCTCAATCCGTGAAGCTCTTGCAAATTTCTAAATCGAATGTGCACGGCGCCAAGGCGAGAGCCACATTCTGAAAACGACCCGCCCTCCATCTGTGAAGCTGTTGTCACTTGTTAAACCCAGAATCGTAATTGCTCATGCGAAACGCCGGGCCCGTCCCAAAAATTGGCGTCGGGGTGCGACAGGGAGAAGCTACCTATACGGAGAAGGAATGTAGGGGGAGGAGGAGGAGGAGGAGGAGGAGGAGGAGGAGGAGGAGGAGGAGGAGGAGGAGGAGGAGGAGGAGGCCTCCTCCTCCTTCGCCTCCTCCTCCTCCTACTCCTCCTCCTCCTCCTCCTCCTCCTCCTCCCTCCCTGGATTCCCAGGAGGGCCTGCAAGATGACACGCCGCGCCGCCGCCCGCCCCCTCCCCCCCGCGGCCAGCAGGTGCTCCCGTGCGCCGCCCTCGCCGCCTGCCTGGTCTTCCAGCTGCGGCTCATGCGGTCCTTCGGCCTCTCGGACGGGTGGGCCGCCGCCCGGTTGGGGGGGGGAGCGCGGGAGCGAGGTCAGAGGAGGGAAAGGCGCCGGGGGAGAAGGACGTGCCCATACCGCTGGCCTTGCAGCACGCTCGCCTTTTCGGGGCCTCCTGGGCGGCCCTCGTCGCCACCGCTGGATTCGCCTCGAGATCCTAGTCAGGACGCACCCCGGGAGAGGCCCGGGGAGTAGCGGTATCGGTACCTGTTGGTCCCCCCAGGACAGGCACCCATGTTCACAGCCGATTTTTCTCCCCCAACCCTCCGCTCAGAAAAGGAGGGGAACCTTGGGATACACCCCAGGGGGGCTATTCGGAAGCACCCCTATCGAGGATGGAGCCCCCCCATCGCATGTCCCAGGGTTTGCCCCCAACTCTTTGGCCCAGTCGAGAACCCCACGAAGCCTGGAGTAATTAGGGTTCGACACATCCCCTGCTGCATACGTACTTCTGCCCCTGCCTCCCTTCCCCCTCTTCGGGCCTCCTGGGCGACTCTCGTCGCCGCCGCTTCGCTTCGCCCCCGAGGCTGGAGCAGCAGCTCGGCGGCGAGCGCCGAGCCCTGCCCTGGCCGCGATCTAGTGCTCCGGGCAGCCCGACTGGCGGCGGCAGGTATGGGGCCACATGCGAACCCTACCCCTACCTAGGGGGCCACAGCGAACCCCACCCTCCCCCTCAGAAATCGTGGGGGGTAGGGGTAGGGTTCGCATGTGGCCCCCTAGGTAGGGCTCGTTCGGAGTTCGCCGAACACGCCCCCGAACACGTGGCGAAATCCGAGCCAACCCCCGCCTCACATCGATTCGGGAGAATCGCTGGTCGACGGGGGTATGGTTCGGCTGCCGTCACCCGAAACCCACCCCGACCCCCACGATGGGCGCTTACGAGACGGCCTTGGGCGTCTACGAATCAGCCCTGTCCTGGTCGATCCCTTGCTCAGGTGCGTCTGCTAAATGGCTTTGCTTGTCGGGGGTCTTACCATGAGGTTGTTTGGTGTCTGTTCGATCAAAGATGGGGCCTCGACGAACAAAGGTAATGCATGAACATAAACCTTTGGAGGTCCGCGCGGACCTCCAACAGTCTATTCTCTTGCTGTTTTCTATTCCTCGAAGGGGGCCTGACAGACGAGGCGCCTTCAAACAAGGCAAGCTCGACCTGGGCCCCCTTACTATCCGCACGGCCCCATCTCTCAGGGCCCCCTCTTCGAACCGCCGTGGAGGGAGGGAGGGAGCGGCGGGCCCGAACAGTCGGAGCCGGTCATCAGGATGGCTGGGCCTCGTGAGTTGGCTCCGTGCCGGAGTGGCCCTCCGCCAGAGTGGCCCCTGGTGCGGGCTGGCAGGGGTTTCCCCAGCGCCTGGCCTGCTCGCTGGGGTCTGGCCCTCCCGCACCGCATGGCTTGCACCACACACACACACACACACACATGTGTGTCCCTGGCCAGTGCTTGCACTTAGGGGTTCGTATTTCTGTTCTAGGGAACTGGGCCGTGTCTGCGGTCTGGCGGCTATGGGCCGCCGTCTCAGCCGCGTCGCCGCCCGTCGCCTGGGCCGTGCCTTCGGGTTGGCGGCTAGGCGGTCGCCGTCGCTGCCCCCCTCGCCTCCTCGTCGTCGCCCGTCGACCGGGCCTGATTGTCGGTCTGGCGGCCATGTTGTCGCCGTCGCCGTTCCGTCGCTCCCTCGTGGCGGCCTCGCATCACTGCACCACATAGCTTGCACCATATATATATATATATATATATATAGCACCACATCTATTGCATAGCATCAATCGCAGTACATATGCTGCACAGCACAGTTCGCACTGCATGTGTTGCACCGAGCTTGCACCACGTAGATCGCACTACAGAGATCGCGCCGCATCTATTCCACACCATAGATCGCACAACACTTATTGCACATCATATATTGCAACACAAAACTTGCACCACCGACATTGCAAGCCTTAGATCGCACACCAGGCACACAACATAGATCGCGCCTCATATATGGCATAACGTGGATCGCACAGCATATATTGCCCATCTGATTTTGCACACCACAAATCGCATCACATATACTGCACCACACATCTTTCACAGTATACACACATTTATATATACATATATATATATATATATATATATTGCACATCATATATCGCACACCATCTATTGTTCCACAGAGATTGTGCAACATATCTTGCTTTGGGCACACTGTTTGGGGCCTACGCGGGTTATCACACGTAGGTGTGGTTATGTAGTTGCATAACTAGCGCCACATAGCTGGCACCACATACGTTGCACCACACATGTAAGTATGCATATGTGTATATATATGTATATACATATATATATGTTGCACTACGTAGGCTTGCATCACATAGTTTGTTGCACCACACAGGCTACACCACACACATTACGCTACATAAGCTGCACCACACAGTTCGCGCAACATAGACTACACATCAAGATTGCACTATCGCTATGTTAAGTGTTTGCGCTGGCAAGCATGTGAGTTTACTCGAATCATTTTGCTGTTGGAGTGACAGTGGGTTGGCGGTTTTGGAAGTGGTGTTGGTGGAGGTCGTGGTAGTGGCAGTGGTAGAGCTGTGGAACGGCAGTGGCTATGGTGTTAGTTGTAGTAGTGTTGCATCGTCGTTTTCCTCCTTCTCTTCCTCTCCTTCGTGCTCGTTTTCTTCGGCCTCCTCCCTCGTCTGCTCCTTCTCCTCCTCTTTCTTGTCTTTCCTTTCCCTATGAGTGCAGCGGGCTTTCCTGTAGGTGGACCATCCCCTTGATCATGTTTGCCTTCGCGGGCCATTCCCTGATCCACCTGACCATTTTGGAGTTGGTCTTCAGCTCGAAGCGGGACTGGGGCCGGGAGGTGCGATGGGGGAGAAGGACAGGGAAGACGCGGGATGAGAGGGACGTTGAGGAGGAGGAGGCAGAGGCGGACGAGTGGGAGTGATAGGATGATGATAAGTATGAGGATGATGAGGAAGAGGGGAATGGGGAGGAAGGTGAGGACGCGGATGGGGGAGGAGGATCAGTAGAGCCCGTCAGTACATTTCACAGTGCCGTCTGCCTGTTGAGCTCAGGGTACCCCCTTGGGTGCTTGTGGGGCTTCACACCCGCGATCAGCTGAAGAAAGATGCGGAGGATGGGGACGGGAGGAGGGAGCAGAGGAGGGGGACGGATCATGATGATGATGATGATGATGCTGGTGCTGGCGATGATGAATCTGATGATGATGCAGATGATGATGCTGATGATGATACTGCTGATGGTGATGCTGATGATGATGCTGATGATGCTGATAATGGTACTGATGACGATGATGATGGTGCTGATGCTGATGCTGATGCTGATGCTGATGATGCTGCTGCTGATGATGATAGTGATCATGGTGATGATGCTGATGATGACGCTGATCATGATGATATTGACGATGATGATTATGATGATGATGCTGATGATGCTGCTGCTGATGATGATGATGCGAATGATGATGAGGAGGATACAGATGATGCTGGTGATTGAAGATGATGCTGATGATCATCATGATGATTCTGGTGCTGATGCTGATGCTGATGATGACGATGATGATGCTGATGATGATGATGATGATGATGATGATGCTGTTGCTGCTGCTGCTGCTGATGATGATCATGCTCATGATGGTCATGGTAATGGTGATGGTTGTGATTGTTGTGATGGTGGTGGTTGTGGTGAAGGTGATGCTGCTGCTGATGATGATTAAGATTATCATGATGTTGATGATGATGGTTGTGATGATGCTGATGATGATGATGATGATGCTGATGCTGATGATGATCATGCCCATGATGGTCATGGTAATGGTGATGGTGGTGATTGTTGTGGTGGTGGTGGTGGTTGTGGTGAAGTTGATGCTGGTGTTGCTTCTGATGCTGATCATGGTGATGATGCTGACGGTCAAGATTATCATGCGGTTGATGATGGTGGTTGTGATGATGATGATGATGATGATGATGATGACGATCATTATGCTGATGATGATGCTGCCGCTGACGATGCTGGTGATGGTGATGGAGACTGTGATGATGGTGCTGTGGATGTTGATGCTGATGATGATGATGCTGATGATGATGATGATGATGCTGATGCTGATGCTGATGCTGATGATGATGGTGACCATGGTGGTTCCGACGATGCTGCTGCTGCTGATGATGATGATGACGCTGAGGATGGCGAGGATGATGAGGATGACGTCGCTGACGATGAGGATGCTGCTGCTGCTTTGGTGATGCGGGTGATGATGATGATGATGATGATACTGATGATACTGATGCTGATTATTCTGATGATGATGATGATGATGATGATGATGATGATGATGATGATGATGTTGAAGATTGTGCTGATGACGACGGCGACGGTACTGATGATGGCGATGATGCTGATGATGCTGTTGAAATGATGCTGATGATGCTGCTGCTGCTGCTGCTTCTGATGATGCTGATGATGACGCTGGTCATGCTGATGCTGATGGTGATGATGCTGCTGCTGATGATGAAGCTGATGCTGACGACGAGGATGATGATGATCCTGATGATGATGCTGCAAATTGTGATGATTCTATCGATGCCAGTGTCGATGATGCTGATGCTGATGATTATTCTGATGATGACGAGGATGATGATGATGATGATGATGATGATGATGATGATGATGATGATGATGGTGATGACGATGATGATAACGGTGACGATGCTGATGATGAAAATGCTGGTGATGATGACGCTGCTGATGATGATGCTGATGCTGCGGACGATGATGATGATGCTGATGAAGATGCTGATGATGATACTGATGAATATGCCGATGCTGATGCTGCTGATGGTGATGATCATGATGCTGATGATGCTGATCCTGATGCTGGTGCTGATGCTCCTGCTGATGATGCTGCTGACGATGATGATGCTGCTGCTGATTATGACGATGCTGATGATGCTGAAGACGATGATGACTATGTTGATGCTCATGACGATGCTGATGATGCTGATGCTGACGCTGATGCTGATTCTTATGTTGATGCTCGTGTTGTTGCTGGTGCTGATATTGTTGTGGCTGCTGGTGTTAATGTCGGTAATGGCGAGGATGATGATGATGATGATGATGATGATGATGCAACCGGTGGGTGTGGAGGAGCAGGAGGAGGATGATGATGATGAATCTGACCAGGAACATGATGACGATGATGAGGATGACGATTCTGACGATGCTGATGATCATGATCATGGTGATGTTGATGATGATGCTGTTGATGATGATGCTGATGCTGAGGCTGCCGATGCTGATGATGATGATACTGATGATGATGTCGATGATTGGGATTCTGATAATGCTACTGATGATGTTGATGCTAATGATGATGCTGATGATGCTGATGATGATGATGCTGAGGATGCTGATCATGCTGACGATGCTGATGATGCTGCTGCTGATGAGGATGACGATGATCATGCTGATGCTAATGATGATGCTGCTGCTGATGATGCTGATGCTGCTGATGATGATGATGCTGACGTCGAGGACGGGGATGATGCTGATGCTGCTGATGCTGCTGCTGCTGATGATGATGATGATGACGCGGATGATGATGCTGATGATGATGACGATGATGCTGATGATGCTGATGATGATGAGGATGATGATGATCATGATGACAACGACGATGATGATGCTGGTGCTGCTGATGATGATGATGATGATGATGATGATGATGCTGACGACGAGGACGGGGAATATGCTGATGATGCTGATGCTGATGATGCTGCTGCTGATGAGGATGACGATGATGATGCTGCTGCTGATGATGATGATGATGAGGATGATGATGATTCTGTTGATGATGATGAAGAAGATGATGACGATGATGCTGATGATGCTGATGATGATGATGATGATGATGATTATGATGATGATGATGATGATGATGATGATGATGATGATGATGATGATGATGACGGTGATGCTTACGATGATGCTGATGATGATGATGCTGATGATGATGATGATGATGATGATGATGATGATGATGATGATGATGATGATGATGATGATGATGATGATGATGCTGATGTGATGATGATGATGATGCTGATGATGCTGTGTGCTGATGATGATGATGATGATGATGATGATGATGATGATGATGATGATGATGCTGATGATGATGATGATGATGATGATGATGATGATGGTGGTGGTGGTGGTGATGATGATGATGATGATGATGATGATGATGATGATGAGGAGGAGGAGGAGGAGGAGGAGGAGGATGAGGAGGTGGTGGAACAGGGCGAGGAGAAGGAGGAGGAAGAGGGAAAAGGAGAGGGATGAAGAGGAAGAAGGAGGACCACGGAGGAAGACGGACGAGGAGGAGGAACAGGCGGAACAGGTGGAGGAAGAGGAGGAAGAGGAGGAGGATGAGGAAGATGAGGAAGAGGATGAGGAGGAAGAGGAGGAGGAAGAGGAGGAGAAGGAGGAGGAGGAGGAAGAGGAGGGGGAGGGAGGGAAGGAAGGATGGAGGGGGGGAGCCGCCCAATGTCGAAATGCCGAATAAGAAAACGCTCACTTGTACACCAGGGGGAGTGGACACAAGGTCCCACGGGATATCGGGCCACATGGCCCCACCTCTCCACCAAATGCGCGATCCCCGTGCCTCGGAAGCAACTCCAGTGCTACGGACCTGCGGACGCCACCAGCGGCTAGGCGAGGACGCCAAGCCGCTGGTTTCCCAAAGAGAAACGGTCGGTTGAACCTCACCCAGCTGGCGGATAAAGCTCCTGACAGTGTGCCCCGTGGAGTGTGTGGGACTGACACCATGAGAACAGGTGCCAGGCCCCCACCCACGGGGAGAGGAATGGAGGGGGGAGGGAGGGAGGGATGGAGGGACAGGGAGAGAGGAGTTTTAAGGAGGAGGGGGCGGTGGCGGCGGAAGAGGAGGAGCGAGCGAGCGAGCGAGCGAGCAGAAGCCGAGAGGCGAAGGGTTCGGGCCCGCGGACGGGCGCACGGGCTCACAAGAACCAGACCCGAAGGGTCAGCACGAGCAGGTCGGAGCCCAAAGGGTCAGGAGCAGACTTCCTGGCGCCAACCCTCCGAGCCCAGCCCCTGCGAGCACCAAGCGCGGGCCTCGCCCGCCAGTGAGCACGGGGCCGGGCCTGCGCCAGGCCCGTGCTCACCCTCTCCAGGCCGACCGCGACGACGGTCAGCGCGCCGAGGGCGCGCAGCTTCTCCAGGTGGGGCACCGACGAGCACGTGGCCCAGCGAGTCTGCAAGGTGCCCGATTCACCCGCGGCCCAGCGTATGGACGTGGAAACAGACGCCCACGCGGAAATTGGAGAAGAGGCCGTCCACTGAGACGACGGCGAGCCGCACCGCGGTAAAAACATGAGCGACCGAGGCTGCCTCGAAGGCAGGCGTGTGCACCGAAAGGACAAGCAAGTCGGGCCAGTGCGGACCAATCGCCGCAACACAAGACCATTGATCAAAGACGGCTGCGAGCTTGGAGCCCGACAGCTTATGCCATGTCCTGATCAAACTCATCATCGCTATCGTCGTCCCGTGGAGCTCCCAACTCCAGAGCTTCGGGGCAAGTGAGGCCGTGATCCTAGGAGGAGGAGGAGGAGGAGGAGGAGGAGGAGGAGGAGGAGGAGGAGGAGGAGGACGAGGAGGAGGAGGAGGAGGAGGGGATGAGGAGGGAACGGTGGAGGAGGAGGAGGATGCGGAGGAGGAGGGTGCCGCTCAGGAGAAGCAGGTCAAGGAGGAGCAGCCAACGTACGAGGAGGTGGCGAAGAAGGAGGCTGTCGACTGGTTCACCAGCAACAAGGCGGGCGCCAGACCCCTCCCGCGCGCTACGCTCCTCTCGTCCGTCTTCGTCCTCGCCCTCCCCTCGTTTTCCTTCCCCTTTTTCTCCTCCCTCCCTTGCCCTATTCCTCCCCTCCTCCGTCCTCCCCCCCCTGTTCGCGACGCGCACGGAGTGCTCCAGGGAGCGCCAATGCACGTGACAGCACACGTCGGGCAGTAGGTTGACAGCACCACCACCGCTCCTGACAAAACCATCGCGGCGGTTGGCATCGTGAGGTGTGTGTGTGTGTGTGTGTATGTGCATGTGTGTGTGTGTGTGTGTGTGTGTGTGTGTTTGTGACCGGCACACCCGCCTCTGCCGCCGCCCTCCCCCCACCCTGCCGCCGCCTTCCCGCCGCGGCGGCTACTCCCGTTGCCCTCCCACCGCCCCGCGAGGGCCCAGCCGCTTCCCTTTACCCCGCTGGCGCGCGCGCGCGCCGACAGGCCTCTGCTCGGTCTGGAGTCGCTCCAGCCCGCGACGGCCGAAAAGTGTGTTTGTGTGCGCGCGTGTGTGTGTGTGTGTGTTCACCCCATCAACCTGGGGATCTCCCTTCGGCCAATCCCGCCACCGTGCCTGGGTTGAAGGTCAGATGCTTGTGTGATGCCTGTGGGGATCTCTTGGGAGGCCGCTCGGATGTCTCGTGGATTCGATTTCGGGGTGTCTTTGGGGCCTCTCGGGGGTCTCTTGGGGGCTTCTGGGGCATGTTTTGAGCCTCTTGGGGGCTTCCTCGAGCTTGTGTGGACCTCTTGAGGGCCTGCTGGCGGTCTCGGGGGCCATCTTGGGGTAAATAATTCTAAACGTCGATTCGTGCTCCCCTCTGGAACTGGGCCCTCTTGAAGCCCCACGGAGCCGTCTTGGGGGGCTTAGTGGGCCGTCCTGAGGCCATCTTGGGCCATCTGGGGGTACTCTCGGGGGCCTCTTCGGCCGTCTCGGGGCGGTCTTGGGGACCTTTTGGTCCTCTTGGAGCGTGGAGCGCCCGAACAGGCGAGAACGTTAAACCCCTCGCACGTCCAAGGAACACCTGTGACTACTGCATGTTGGTGCCCTCGGGTCCTTTTGGAGCCCTCTTCGGTCGTCTTGGGGCCATCTCTGGCGTTTTGGAGCGCTCTTGGACCGTTTTCGAAGCCTCTCGCTCCGTTTTGAGCGCTTCTCGAGGCCTCTGGAAAAGTCACACGACCGGCCCCGGGAGCGCGCGGGAACGCGCAGGAATCCCCAAACATAATCTTACAATATTGGGTACAGAGTGCAGAGAACTCTCGATGCCCGGGGAACACTCGGTTTCGCGCCTCGAGGCACGGTGGCGGAGGGAACACAAGCGGCCGATGAAGGAGGCGGCGAGGCACACCCGTGAGATAGTATCATTGCTGCGCATGGAAGTTATATTCGACTGTGGCTGTTCTGTTCTATAGCTCGTGCGGTGTGAAGACAGGACATACATCAGGCGGAACGGTTATGTGCCACCCTCGTTGGCGCTCCGACACGTTCTGATTGCATCGAATCCGTTTGGAAGGCAAGGCAAGCTTGCTGATGCTGCGGAGTTAGCACAGGACTTTGTGGCCGAGCAACAAGTATTCTCGGAGCATCGTCAGCAACAACTGGTTGAGGAGAGGCAGAATATACTGGTCCTTGGTGGACGTCGCATGGCACTCTGGTCTCTTTTCCAGCTTGCGCTCAAGCTTCAAGGCCTGGGACTCCCGGACGACGAGGGCACGAAGGTGATTACCGAAGCGAAGAATCTGGTCTCTCGGTCGGAATCGCACCTGGGCGCCAGTGTTCCGAGGTGGCGTCACCGACACCGAGTTTCTCCCACGCTACTTGGACGAGCACAATGGTGGTGATGCCTGAGCTTGCTGAGGCGGCTCTTCTCTGACGATCGTCGACACATGTGCTGTGTTTCTCGTGCTCGCCCGTCTGCTCCTGGCCCCGACGCACTCCCCTTTCGAGGCTTGGGAGGCAAGGTCCTGGTATTCTGACGGACTTGTCATTGGTGAACTTGGAGATTGCTCAAGGATTCCCTCCATTGGTTGATCTCAGTGATCGCTTGCTGGCATCTATTCCCAAGGGCTCAGCGCTCACAGCTTTATCAGATAGTGCTTAGAGGGAGGCTGGCGCTACTCGCCCCCTGGCTTCAAAGGGCACCACTTGCAACATCATGGCAACTTTGATCAGTAGATGCATCAAACGCACGGTCGCTCGTGACTCACCACGCTCTCAAAGAGGATTGCTTGGTGGCCGCAATTTTCCTCAGAGCCGTCACTCTCCTGGATACACTTGGGCAGCTGGCCTTCAAGATGCTCGTGAAAAACCGTCCACCAGTGCTGATCACGCACGATATTTGGAACGCCTTTCCGAACCTGGCCCGTGGTCGGATGGAGGCTGTCTTGGAGAGATCTGGGTTTAAAGGTGGTCTACTGAGTATCACCAGTGGCTTCTACTTCTTGCTCGAAGGATTTGTCATGGTTGCAGGTGCCCCTCATCATTTCCTGTGCGTTTTGTCTGGTCTTGCTGAAGGCTGTCCGCTTTCTCCGGCAGTATGTGCTCTCGCTATGAATCCCTTCGCGCAGCATCTTGAACTAACGATTGATTCTTGTTTGGTTTTTGCTCTGGGCATTTGCGCTGATGATATCGAAATCGTACTTCAGGATCGTTGCCTCATGCGTCGTGTTTGGAGAGTTTTAAAGGCGGCGCAAATTCTGGCTGGGCAACTGTTGAAATTGAAGAGGTGCGTCCTGATTCCCCTTTGTGTACCTCCGACGGGTGATGAAACTATCGACATGTATTCGTGTTTTTGCGAGAATATCTCATCCTGGAACTCAAGATGCACATCGGACCAAGTCGAAGACCTTAACTTCATGATTTGCCGGGGGCTACGGATAACTCACTATGAAAGAAGGGTGCAGCTAAATTGGCACATCGTGTACGCGCGCTTGCTGAATCCTTTGCCCTGAGTCACTCACGTACGACGGTCTAGAACACACGTGATGCAGCTTCACGGCTCGAAGCAAATGAGAATTGGTCATTGCACAACATATGGCACGTTAGACCACAGACGTTGGCGAACAACGAATTTCTGAGCTTCTCGGACTGATCCAACACCAGGGCGAAACAGTTTGGTGGTCCTTGGTCTGTTTTCTCTGATGCCTGCGGCTGAAATTACTATTGATCACTGGCGGAATCTAATATGTTTCTTGGTGAATCTGACGACTGGAGGCGCGCTGCTTCAAGTTGGTGCCCAGAAGTTCTCGTCCTTCTTTCGGGAAGTTGAACTTGAGATATGCCACTTACAGAACGCAGCGGACGTTCTTCCACGGGATCAGGGACTTCGCGGGCACGTTCGTGGAGCGAGATGGGCGCTGGCGATGGCGCGTGCAACATTGAATGGGTTCCCGATGCTTTGCATTCGTCCGCAGCGTATCTTTTCTACTTCCTCCGATCCTCCGTCTTCCCCGATTGTCTCGCCCTGCCAGCCGTTCGAGAGCGTGGAACACCCCACCCCTTGCTCTTGGCTGGCCTATCCTCCGTGAGTTGATCAGAGATGCCCCTCCTGCTTGGCAGGTTGCAGTCAGTAAGACTCTCGCAGGGGGTTCGCTCACGACATCTAGAACGCACACTCTTGGAGGCCCTGGTCGCTGTTTGTTCGCGTGCGACTTCAGGAATATTGCTGTCAGGGCCACTGACTGTTTCGCCCACCACTTGAGGTGATCTAGACTCTGGTCTATAGTGTATCCTTCGAGTTTAGTCATTGCTGGATTTGTTCCCACTCGTTGGTGTCTTGGCGGGGACTCCTAGCCTGAGAGATGGGGGCGTCTTGTCATTGCGTATCATTTATATAGTGTGTTCCGCATGTTGCCCCGTCCTACACCTGCCTCAGAGTCATCTGATATTGGTGCACGACTATACAAGGCCCACTGGTCTGCCCAGGCTCTGGTTTGCCAATCCCGTGCTCCGTTCTGGCCTCTTGTGGCCTGGTGTGGAGTCCGCTTCTCGGTACGAGGGGCGTATATCTGTATACACATGCGAGTGTATATGTATACACACATACATTTGTGTTTTTGTTTTGTATGGAGACGGAGACTTATATATATATATATATATATATATATGTATATACACACGTAGCACCCCGCAGTTGCGGATAAGAGTGAGGGGGTGGCGGGGACGTCGGCAGTCTACGAGAGTCTGAACAAGCCCACCGCAGGCGCCTGAACAACGATTTCGGCGCAGGGAAGCACTGCGGGTGGGTCGCGGGGTGGGTCGCGGGGTGGGTCGCGGGCGGATCGCCGGGTGGGTCGCGGGTGGGTCGTGGGTCAGGTCGCGGGTAGGTTGCGGGTGGGTCGCGGGTGTTTCGCGGGCCAGGTGGTGCGGGTAGGTCGTGGGTGGGTCGCGGGGTGGGTCGCGGGGTGGGTCGCGGGCCGGGTCGCGGGCCGGGTCGCGGGTGGGTCGCGGGCTGAGTCGTGAGCGGGTCGCGGGCGGGTCGCGGGTGGGTCGCTGGCCGGGTGGTCGCGGGTGGGTCGCGGGCGGGTCACGGTGTGGGTCGCGGGTGGGTCGCGGGTGGGTCGCGAGTCGGGTCGCGGGGCGAGTCGCGGGTGGTCGCGAGCCGGGTGGTCGCGGGGTGGGTCGCGGGGGAAACGACGACAACAAACAACAACAACAAACAACAACAACAATAACAACAACAACACCAACAACACCACCAACAACAACAGCAACAACAACAACACCAACAACAACACCACCACCACCAACAACAACACCAACAACAACACCAACAACACCAACATCAACAAGAACAACAGCAACAACAGCCTTAACAACAGCAGCAGCATCAGCAACACCAACAACGGCAACAACAACAACGACAACAACACCAACAACAACATCAACATCAACATCAACAACAACATCAACAACAACACCAACCACAACAACAACAACAACATCACCAACAACAGCACCAGCACCAGCAGCAGCAACAGCAACAGCAACAACAATAACAACTACAAACATACCAACACCACCGCCAACAACAACAGCAACACCAATCACAGCAGCAACACCAGCAACACCAGCATACATCAACAAACAACAACAATCAACAACACAGAACAACAACAATCCGCACCGCAAAACCTACTTTCAGCCACTCGCACAGGGACTGAATTCGGTCCCTCACTCTGAAGTGTGTATGGATGTACGTATGTATGTATGCATGCATGCATGCACGCATGCATGCATGCATGTATGTATGTATGCATGCATGTACGTATGTATGTATGCATGCATGCATGTATGTATGTGTACAGCTACAGGTAAGTGTGCGCTTGTGTGCGTGCATGTGCTGTTGTGTGCCCATAGGTCACATGCTGCTCCGCCGCTGTGGCCCGAGGCACGAGTCGGAGTTCCCTCGGGTCCCGCCGAGTTCCCTGCGCGGACTCGTGCACCTTTTTTGGAGGCACCCGTGGCCCGGGGGGACTCCGGGCGCTCCTGGGCGCCGCCGCTCGCCCCAGGGGCGCTCTCGGGGGGCCCCGCCCTGACTCTTTGCGGAGGCCACGGGCGCGCGTTGTTCGGGACCTGCGTGTCCACCAGGGCTTCGGATGGCCCCGGGGACCATCCTGGAAGCCTTCTGGGCGCCTCTTGGCACGTCTCGGAGGCCCCGGCGGGCGGCCCGACAGGCCGCAATGGTCCACATCCTTTTTTGTTTTTGGTTTTGTTCTGTTGTTGTGTGGTTTCCGCACTTTCAGATCCTCCAAATCGGCCCAAGAGGCGCCCCACATCGCCCCCAAACGGCCCAAGAGCCCTCAAAATGGGCTGAAGAGGCCCTCAAGATGGACCCAGGAGAGGCCCAGGGTGGGGAGCACGAGCTGACATTTTGAGTCCTCCGCCCCAAGATGGCTTTAAGCTCCCCCCACAAGCCGTCGAGGTGCGCCCAAGAGGGCCCCAAGAGACTCCGAGAGGCCCATCAGGCCCCAAGAGTTCCCCCAATACGCCCCAAGACACCACGCAAAACCGCGTCTAAATGGCACCCGACAAGCCCCCATCGGATTCTCACAGGCATCCTGGAGGCCTCTGACCTACAAACCGGGCGCGGTGGCGGGATGGACCGAAGGCCACCAGACATAGGCGAATCTGGTAACATATGCATACATGTATATGTATTTGTCCAGGGCCTGTTCGGGGCCTCATGACATCGGTGCCCCAGGCGGTGGAGATGTATCAGGCCCCGCCTCGCAAGAAGGCTCGCTGGAGCGCCGCCCCCACGCTCGCCCTGTCCACACTGGCGCGTCGCCGGCCCGTGAGGACGCGCCCGTGAGAACGGCGGGAGGGTACAGTGCCGTTTTTAATACATGCTCCGCGTGCGGATCATGTATAACAGATGCAGGGATTTAGTATTAAAAACAACGATGAGTTCATGCATACATGTATTCATACATTAATCATGTATTAAAAATCCGATAATTTTAAACATCCTATGTATTAAAACTGTCCTGTAGGGGGCGCCGACAGATGGGAGTGGGCTCAGGTGGGAGCATCGGCTCCAGTCTCCCATTCCTCGCCGAGCGGAGTCTCGGTGCTGCCACCTGCCCAGGGACGCGCTGTTTCTCTCTCTCTCTCTCTCGGGCGGCCTCTCCCCGATCTGCAGGCGACGCATCGTCGAGTCCAGGTCACGGTCCCAGACCCAGAGCCAGCCCGGGGAACGCACGACGGGGCAAGAAAGCGCGCCCGAGGTGCACTGCCTGCGCATGAAGTACGCGGCGCGCTCAGCGGGGTACCGTCGCGTGCTGGCGCGCGATGCCCCACCAGAAACACTAGCGGGAGCAGGGGTTGGAGCAGGGGGATGATGATGCTGAGGCTGCCGTCGCCGATGCTGATGCTGCTGATGCTGCTGATGCTGCTGATGCTGATGATGATGATGATGATGATGATGATGAGGATGAGGATGAGGATGATGGTGATGACGATGGTGCTGATGATCATAATGCTGCTGATAATGCTGATGCTGATGATGATGATCTAGTAACGGGGATGATGATTGTGATGGCGGCGATGATGATGACGACGTCGATTATGATGACGATGATGATGGTGATCTTCTTTTTCTTTCTTCTTCTTTCTCCTCTCATTCTTCTTGACCTTATTCTTAGTTTATGATCACCCAAATGAGTATTATTCCCTACCTAGGCTCTGCCTAGAAGGGTTCTTACTCTCTGAGCTTAAAGGGGCCAGGCTGTGTAAACCGCCCCGGGCGGTTTCTCCAGGATCCGCCCCGCGGTTCCCCCAGTTACGTCCCCTTAGCTTAGCGTTGCTTATCTCATCTTAGCTTAGCTTATTTCATCTTAGCTTAGCTTACAGTAGCTTCATCTTAGCTCAGGGTTATCTTAGCTTAGCTGTCCTTCATCTTGGCTTCGCTGAGCTTTAGCATAGCACAGCATAGCATAGCATAGCATAGCCTAGCATAGCATAGCGCAGCACAGCATATCATAGCATAGCCCAGCATAGCATAGCATAGCGCAGCATAGCATAGCATAGCATAGCATAGCAGCTGCCGCCACTGCCGCCGCTGCCACCTGCTCCTCCTCGTCATCCTCACCGTCATCCAGCTCCTGGTCCTCCTGCCCCGGATCTGTGGGTGTATTTTGTGGCGCTCGTGTGTGCCAACCGCGTTGCCAGTTTAGTTTTCTGTTCGGGTAATTAGCATGGGTGTAATTTCCTACCTAGGCTCTGCCTAGAGGGTTAGCTTAGCTTAGCTTAGCTTAGCATAGCGCAGCGCTGCATTAGCATAGCATAGCATAGCATAACATAACCACGCACAGCATATCACATCATAGCATAGCATAGCGCAGCATAGCGTAGCATAGCATAACGCAGCTTAGCATTGCATAGCATAGCATAGCATAGCTTAGCATAGCACAGCGCAGCATTACATAACATAGTATAGCATAGCATAGCATAGCATAGCACAGCACAGCATAGCATAGCATAGCATAGCGCAGCATAGCATGGCGTAGCATAGCATAGCATAGCAACTAATGCTGCTTTCCTAGGGGCTCCAACTTCTAGGTAGGGTCGCACTGGGGTACTTATGATTGTGATGCTGATGATCTTGAGGATGACGACTTCGATTACGATTACGATGCCCATGACCATGCCGATGATGCTGTTGTTGCTATTGGTGATGGTGGGGGTTCGTGCGATTGTGATGGTGATGTCGATGCTTCTGTTCTTGCTGCTAGTGATGACGATGACGATGTTGGTGGTGATGATGCGGATTGTATTTCTGTTGCTGGTGGTGATGCTGATGACGATGGTGATGGAGATGATGCTGATAATGATGATGCTCTGGTAACGATCGCAATGCTGGTGATAACGATGATGACGCTGATGCTGTCGACGCCAATGCTGCTGCTGATGACGGTGATGGCAGCGATGGTGATGACCATGTCAATGACGATGACGATGCCGATGCTGCAGCTGTTGCTCATGCTGATGGTGATGGTGATGGCGATGGTGATGGTGGTGATGATGGTGATGATGATGATGACGGTGATGGTGATCGTGATGTTGATGCTTTCGTTGTTGCTGCTGGTGGTGACGATGACGATGTGAACAGTGATGATGCTGTTTATGCTGCTGATGAGGAGGATGAAGATGAAGATGACGATGCAGATGAAGCTGGAGCTGACGATGGTGATGGTGATGATGATGCTGCTGATGATGATGAAGATGATGGTAATGGTGATGATGGTATTGGTGGTGATGCCTGGTGATGATGATGATGCCGATGATGTTGATGATGCTGCTTCTGATGCTGCTGATGCTGCTGCTGATGATGATGACGACGATGACGAGAATGCTGATGATGCTGATGCTGATGCTGATGCTGCTGCTTCGAATGATGCTGCTAATGATGGTGCTGATGATGTTGCTGATGATGCTGCTGATGATGATGGTGATGGTGGTGATGATGATGATGCTGCTGCCGATGCTGCTGCTGATGATGATGAAACTTATGATGATGATGCTGCTGATGATGATGATGATCATGGTGGTGGTGGTGGTGGTGATGGTGATGACGAGGATGCTGATGATGATGCTCATTATGATGATGCTGATGATGATGATGCTGATGCTGATGCTGATTGAGATGATGATGCTGATGATGATGCTGATGCTGATGCTGATTGTGATGATGATGCTGATGATGATGATGATGATGACGATGATGATGATGATGATGATGATGATGATGATGATGATGATGATGATGATGACGACGATGATGATGCCGCGCATGCGCACATATCCCCGCGCCCTCGCACCTCTCCACCGCCCCCTCCCTGTCGCGGCTCTCTGAGGGGGGGTGGGCATGTCGACGTGGCATTGGAAGGTCATGGCATTGGAAACATCAGAACTCCCGCGCTCCCTCCCAAACGTGCCCGTCGCCAGGCAGTGCTCAGGAGGAGGATGGGGAGGAGGAGGAGGAGCAGGTTGAGGAGGAGGAGGAGGAGGAGGATGCGGATTCTACAGAATTCTACAGGCCAGACCTCCAGATATTTAAATCTCGAGTGTCGGCGGCGATGAGAGGCCCTCCCTGCCCCCAGGCCTGTCCAGGCGGCTAGGTTAGGCCTTGACGAGAGGTCTGGTTGAGGTGGATGTCTACCGGAGCCCTCTCGTATGCTGGCTGACTGCATGGCCCCCCTGCTATCCTTCCTCTTGGCCTGTCCTGCAAGCCTTCGCACTCTCGGCCATTTCGCGCACGAAAGACTTGTGTCGCCCCTTCTTCCACTTCACGCCTTCTCGCAAGGGCCGGTCCCTGGATTGAAGCTGATGGACTTCCTTGCGTTCGCCTTCTGGCAAGATCTGAGTCCCGCACCGAAGCCGGTGTGATGCTTCCGCGGTTGCTTTCTCACAGTGCCAGGTACTGCCAGTGCGCTCCCTCTCACAAGAGCTGGCCCTAGCGTCGTTGGTGATGACCCTCTGCTGCGTCCTTGTCACAGCGCCAGCTTGTGCCACAAGAGCTGATCCCTGCACTGTAGCTGAACCTTTCCCTGCCTCCGCCTTCACAGTGCAAAATGCTGCCGCTGCACGCTCCTTCGCAAGAGCTGATTCCCGCATTGTAGCTCAAAACGTTCGCCCGGGTCCACTTTCTCGCACCGAGCTGCTTCCCGCGCTGCAGCTGGGTGGCCACCCCCGTACATCTTTGTCACAGTGCCACACGCTGCCACTGCCCGTCCTTCTCGCCAGCGCCAACTCCAGCACTGTAGCGGGGGACGGCTGGGTGCGGTGCCCACAGTACGCCAGCACCATTGCCTGCCCATCGTGCATGAGCCGATCCCAGCGTTGTAGCTGATGCGTAGCGCTCGCCTGCCTGCCTTGTTGCATGAACCGATCCCAGCGTTGTAGCTGATGATGTTTGCTCCTGCAACCCGCCTCGCATGGTGGCGTCTCCCGCACGAACTGGTCTCAGGTCTGTAGCTGATGAATGACGTTGGCTCGCCCATTCTCGCCGTGCTCGCGAGGGACGGTCGCGCGGAGAGGTCCTGCACTTGTGCGCCCGCGCCAATGGGACTGGCGCCGCTGCTCGCCCGGTGGACGAGGGGGCAAGGGGGAGATGGGAGGCAGCGAGGAGGGGGCGTGGAAGGGCACTCCTCCTGGCGGCCTCGCGCGTGCGTGATCTCAGCATTGCAGCGGATGATATTGGGCGCCACGCCTCCACATGGCTCTCGAGCGCGAGGCCATCCCGAGGTCGGCGCTCGAAACGCCAGTGCGCTCCCTGTGCAGGGGGGGGGGGCGCTCGGACGCGAAATGGCTGAGGAGGAGGGGGAGGAGGAGGGGGAGGAGGAGGAGGAGGAGGAGGAGGAGGAGGAGGAGGAGGAGGAGGAGGAGGAGGAGGAGGAGGAGGAGGACGCGGAGGAGCAGCAGGATCAGGAGCAGGAGGAGGAGCAGGAGCAGGAGGAGGAGGAGGAGAAACTGGAGGAGGCTGCCTGTGGTGCTGGACTCTTTGGCAGCACCGGCCGGCCGAGCCCGCGCCGTGGCGCTGCTTCCTCGCCCGGCTCTGCCGCTCCCTCGCGCCGTTGGAGAATTTCAGAAGCTCAGGGTGTCTGGGTGCGAGCCGCGAGGCCACCCCTTCAGCAGGAGGGGTCAGAGGACAAGTGCGCCCTCGGTCGACGAAGCCGACGACTATTACCACGACGACGACGACGACGACGGCGGCGACGACGACGACGACGGACGACGACCACGACGACGACGACGACGACGACGACGACGACGACGACGACGACGACGACGACGACGACGACGACGACGACGACGACGACGACGACGACGACGACGACGACGACTACAACTACGACGGACGACGACCACGACAATGTCGACGACAACGACGCTGCCGACGAGGAGACTAAGACGACAACAAGGGAGGAAGGCGGCGCGAGAGCGCGGAGGAGAGCTGGAGCAGAAGCTTCGTCATCTCCGCCCCATCGCTTGCGCTGGGATGCCCGTGGAGCTTGCTGTGGGCATTCGCATTGAGCGCGCGCGCTCGTTACCCCAAGCCCGTCAGCCACGCCAGCTGGGGTGTGGCACGTCAGGTGGGGCTTCCTACTCGCCTGCTTGGCGCGCAGTTGGGTTGCGAGCCTCGACCCTGCTCCAGTGGAGGCGGCCCAGAGCGACGGCCCAGATGTCGTTGCAACTGTCGACCTCGAGGATGCATATGGCAGGGGGCTGCGGCTGAGCTGCCACGGGGCTGCCGATGCTGCCTACCAGTCGTCGCAGCGTTTGCAGCCGCGCCATGGAGTCAGTCCGCGCAAGTCAGTGGCCGGCCGCGGAGGCCGACAGGGCGCGCGGCTCATGCAGACGATGCTCGGTTGGCTCGAAGGCTGTCTCGAGCGCGCCCACGTGCGTCAGTCGCGGCGCCATCAGCCGCGCCGGCCGCTGGGGTGACATATACTGCTTCTCCCAGGCTTGGGCGTTCGTGGCTTACTTTCGAATTCGGCAGGATGCGCTGGCAGCAGGTGGCTGCCGCGTCAAGGGCCAAAAAGGCAGGCCTGGCGAAGACAAGGTGCTGGACTTGCTGCGGCGGCTCGCAGCCTTGATCCCGCGTGCCCTCGGCAGCCGAGGTTTCTTCGGAGGAACCGCGGAGATTGAGGTCGTGACAGGCAGGCATGGCGTCACCCTGCAACCAGCCGGCTGGAGAGTTGAGAAGGCCACATACGTTGCCAGACGGGTGCGCCATTTTGCACTGGCCAGTCTTCTCCTGTGCCTGTGGGTTGGCTCGTGATGCCCGAGCACATTCCGAGCGCCCTTTTTGCACAACCTGCGCTCAGTGCCATCTTCGGCGCGGAGCGCCGAGGCTTTTGACCCGTGTACACTGCAGCGGAGGGCGCCGTGCAGGGCGCAGTCCTCGGGCGCCAGCGCAGTGACGATGCCATCCGGCGAGCCTCGGTGGAACAGCCTTCCGTCGAGAGGCCGCTGACCTCGCGTCCGATGCTGCCCAGTCCGTGCGTCCGCAGGGGAGGTTTGGCAGCCGCGAGGATTCCCCTCGACCAGCAGGGTGGTGTTCAGTATGCACATCCTGCGGAGTGCAGCCGTTGCCGTCGCTGCCGCCGCCGCCGCTGCTGCTGCCACCTCCGCCGCCGTCCCCAGAGATCCGACGCAACCATTGGGCCCATAAGCCCTGACATCTGCCTCCAGGGCCAGCCTCTCGCCCCAAGCCCATGCTGGCTGGGGCCCGGCGAGGGCCCCCCAGTTGCCGAAAGTCTTTCTTGAAAGTCTGGGTCGCGTCGTCGTAGTCGTCGTAGTCGTCGTCGTCGTCGTCTCCGCCGCCGCCGCCGCCGCCGCCGCCGCCGCCTCCGCCGCCGCCGCCGCCAACGCCAGCACGGTGGTGGTCGTCGTCGTCCTCGTCGCCGCCGCCGAAGTGCCGTCGTCGTTGTCGTCGTCGTCGTCGTCGCCGCCGCCGCCGCCGCTGCCGTCGGCGGCGCTGCCGTCGTCGTCGTCGTCGTCGTCGTCGTCGTCGTCGTCGTCGGCGGCGGCGGCGGCGGCGGCGGCGGCGGCGGCGGCGGCGGCGGCGGGTGCGGCGGCGGCGGCGGCGTCCGGTCGCGCCGCCGTGGCGGCCGAGGTGTCCAAGGGGCGTCCTGGCCTTGCATGGCAGGCGCTGACGTGGCCTGCGCCAGGCCAGGTCCGCGCGCGGCGGGGGTCGCCGGCGCAGGCGGGGCGCCCTCCCGACGACGGCGACGACGACGACGACGACGACGACGGCGCCGCCGCCGCCGCCGCCGCCGACAACGACGCCGACGCCGACGCCGACGCCGCCGCCGCCGACGACGACGACGATGACGACGACGATGACGATGCCGATGCCGATGCCGACAACGACGACGACGCCGCCGCCGCAGGCGAGGCGCCCTTCCTTCAGCCGCGAGGTAGCGGTTCTAGCGCAGACGTCAGAGGAGGAAATATACCGATAGTGCTACTCGTGCTGGACCGCTCCCGTCGCCACGGTTGTATCCTCTTCGGATTCTGGTCAGAACGCACCGCGGCAGAGCTTCAGTCAGCAGGGATATCGGCACCTTTTCTTTGTTCCTTCGAAGCGGGGCTCAGCCAGAGCGCTGGATCCTGCAGGATCCTGTGAAGCCAGACTTCGGCTGAGTCGGGTTGTTGAGCCCCGCTTCGAAGGAGCGCAGGATCGATGAGTGGGACGGAGTGTGGATGGATGCGGTGGGGCTGGACAGCGAAAGGTCGTGCGGGGGGCCAGCTGTGCGGGTGAGCTGCGGGGGGGGATGTTCGTGCAGATTGGTCAAGGGTTTGATTGAGGGGGATCGGCGAGTGGAGTGCTCGATATCCCCGGGTTTGTGGATCCAGCCAGAGCGCTGAGCGGGGCTCAGCCAGCGCGCAGGATCCTGTGAAGCCAGACTTCAGCTGAGCCGGATTGTGGAGCCGCTCGCGGCCCTCGAGGTGGCCTTACATTTTTCCCTACCTAGGCTCTGCCTAGAATGGTTCTTACTTTATAAGCTTAAAGGGGCCGGGCAGTGTAACCCGCCCTGGGCGGTTCCCCCAGCATCCGCCCCGCGGTTCCCCAGTTACGTCCCCTTAGCTTAGCGTTGCTTATCTCATCTTAGCTTAGCTTATTTCATCTTAGCTTAGCTTAGCTTCATCTTAGCTCAGGTTTATCTTAGCTTAGTTTACCTTCATCTTAGCTTCGCTGAACTTTAGCATAGCAGAGCACAGCATAGCATATCATAGCATAGCGTAGCATAGCGTAGCATAGCACAGCGCAGCACAGCATAGCATAGCATAGCCCAGCATAGCATAGCATAGCGCAGCATAACATAGCATAGCGTAGCCTAGCGCAGCACAGCACAGCATAGCACAGCGCAGCATAGCATAGCATAGCATAGCAGAGCATAGCGCAGCATAGCATAGCATAGCATGGCATGGCATGGCATGGCATGGTATAACATAGCATAGCATAGCATAGCAGAGCGCAGCACAGCATGGCATAGCATAGCATAGCATAGCCTAGCCTAGCATAGTAACTCATGCTGCTTTCCTAGGGGCTCCAACTTCTAGGTAGGGTCGCACTGGGGTAATTTTGCCGAGCCGCATGTGGGATGCCCCCCCAAGAACTGCAGTGCAGTGTTTTTCCCAGCAGGCTGAGCCAGATTTGCACTGAACCAAGTTCGAGGACGCCCGATCCCCCCAGATTCGGCTCGAGTGGAATTGGTACGGAAAGAGTGGTGACGATCTTGTCCATTCCGAGGAGAACTCGCTGCAGATCCAAGGTAACACGGGAAACATTCCCAAACCACGATCACTTCCAGCAGGCTTGGGCGAATGCTCCAATGGTGGCGTAGGCCAACTCTGGCCACAGCCCGCAGAGCTCGATGTCCTGGTAGGGATTGGCCAGAGCAGGAGCAGGAGGAGGACGATGATGATGAGGAGGAGGAGGAGGAAGAGGAGGAGGAGGAGGAGGAAGAGGAGGAGATGGACGAGGAGGAGGAAGAGAAGGAGGAGGAGGCGGAGGAGGAGGAGGAGGAGGAGGAGGAAGCGAGGAAGTGTTCGCCTCCGCCTACCAGATCGTCTCTGGCTCGGTCGGCGTCAGGGGGTTGCTTGTAGGGCGGGGTGCGCAGACACGCGGCCCGCGGTGGTGGTGGAGGGGGAGGAGGAGGAAGAGGAGGAGGGAAGAGGCAGAGAGGGCTCCCTCCCGTCGCTTCGGCCGCCGCCCACCCGCCCCCCTGCCGTGCTTGTGGCCAGCGCAAGGCGCCCCCCGCGGTGGGCAGCGGGGGGCCCGGCGACGAAGCAGGCGACGCCGGGGGGGGGGGGGCGGGGGCGGGCCCGTCTTCGACATGGTGGTTTTGACGAGGATGATGGTGATGACGATGTTGGTCATAGTGGTGGTGGTGATGGTGGCGGCGGTGGTGATGGTGGCGGCGAGGATGATGATTGTGATGGTGATGGTGATGATGGTAGTGGTGGTGGTAATGGCAGTGATGACGAAGGTGGTGGTGGTGGTGGTGGTGGTGCTGCTGGTGGTGGCGGTGCTGATGACGATGCTGATTGTGATAATGATGTCGGCGGTGGTTGTGATGTTGATGGCGCTGGTTGTGATGAAGGTGGTGGTGATGATGATGAAGGTCGTAGTGACGATGGTAATTTGATGATGGTGGTCGTGATGTTTGTGGTGATGGTTGTGATGGTGACGGCGGTGGTGGTGATGACGAATGTGATGGTGATGATGATTGTGGGGGCGATGATGATTCCGATGACCATGCCGCTGATCGTGGCGATGATACGATGAGATGACGAGGATGAGGCACAATAGGAGGATTACGCGGCGATGGATGAGGAGGAAGGGGAGAAGAAGTTGGACCAGTGTAAATCCTAGGCGCGTCAACGATGTTACAGTAAACTCTCCCTCCAAGTTCCTTCTTCGTAGGTCTTTGAAACCCGTTTTTGTTGCTGGAAGTGGCCTTCAGTCGTGCCAAAACGCCGTGCCTGGGATCTCACGGACGCAGATTTACATGACTGATGCGTCCTGGCAATCTGAATGGTGCCAGAACGCCACTCCTGGGATGTCAGCACCGCGAGCCAACGCGACTGTTACGTTCTGACAGTTCTAAGTCGCTCCAGCAGGGTTCCAACACCGCGAATCATTGGGACTGTTCCGTACCGACCCTCCTAAACCGTGCAAGGGCAGTGTTTGTGGGAGTTCAACTCCGCGAGTCAGCGCGATTGTTGCGTTCTAGTACACGCCGCCCGTTGGAAGTAGGTATTTTTGGATAGAACTATAGAGATCCCAGTGTCGTAACTGCAAGCGCCTTCCCCCTTCACGAACCGATGTGCTTGTGCTGTGCTTTGTTATTCGTTGAGCGGGCCCGAACCCAATATACGTGATAATCCTTCCTACTGCGTGGTTGCACATATTTCTTCCGACTGGAGGGTAATCCTAAATCCCAGGACGTCGTGTCTGAGATCCCACCACGACGAATCAAGCTGATTGTTGCGTCCTGGAATTTACAATCGCGCCATAACACCGTTCGTGGGATTCCAGCATCGCGAGCTAACATGATTGTTGCGTCCTGGCAAGCCCGAACCGTACCAACACACCATTCATGGGATTTCGAACACACGAATTCCTGAACCAGCTACAAACCTTTCGGCGAGTGTGCCCGGCGCTCAGGCGAAAGCCACAGTTTGAAAAGAACTCACCCTCCACCCGTTAACTTGTTTCACATTTTCGGGCGAATATGCACGGCGCTGAGGCGAGAGTATCACTGCGAAAACGACCCGCCCTCCATCAGCGAAACGGTTGCACACTTCAAGCTTCAGGATAATACATGGCGAGGACGTCACAGGCGACACGCTTGGTTCGCCCTGCCGACACGTTTGGGGATGCGGCAGGGAGAAGGAGGAGACGGGGCAGACTATTTCTAGGATGCACCAGCGATGCTGCAGTGCGCCTTCCCGTCCTTGTCTCATTCTCCCATGTCCCGCCCATGGTGTCCGTCGACTACTCGACGAGCGCCCCACAGGATGCATAGGCACACCTGGCATCCGTCTATGCGTAAGAGATACCAGGCATGTGTGATCATAAGAAGGCTGGGACATATTACAACAGTAACCCGGGTTTGAAAGAAGGGCTCGCGTTCCATCCGTGTCGCTGCTACGATATTATCGTTGTTAGGCAGACTGTATGGGATCATACTCCTTGAAGAACTCGCAAGCGCGAATTCCGTTTGAAACAGGAAATGCGCTCTATCCATGGAGCTGTTGCCCAATGGTAAGCTCAGTGGCGTGCCTTCCCGTAATTACAAGCCAGGGCCTCATGCTGCAAATGAGCCACCTTCTATCCGGGTAGCGGTATAATATTTCAAGAACAATGCGCGAATCGTTTGGAGTATAGTCTCATTTGAACAGGATCCGCCCTCTGTCCGTGTACGTCTCGGAAGCGTCTGCAACGAATGTGCACCCTGCTGAGGAGAGAACCGCTTTCAGTGAAACTGATCGGCCGCCATCCACCCACGTTCAGGAGTGAAGGAAACACACAGGCACAATCAATCGTCGACTCCCAGGAGAATATGGGAGAATATGGGAAGTGGGGGGGGGGGAAGACAAAAACCCAGAAACTATAGGAAACGATGGGGAATCCTGTCATTTGTGTGTATTTATTTGCGTGTCCCCGGGCCTCTTCACACGTGGCCGTTGTCTTCATCAGGCTGGTCTGAGCGGCGTCGAGGCGAGAGCCACGCACGGAAAACGACCTGCTGTCCGTCCTGTTGTAGCCGTTGGAACATCCGAGGGGGACACACATGCGGCGCTACGGTCGGGGCGCTGAAGAGAAGAAATCCTTATCGTAGGGGAGGGGCTCGATGTTCCTTTTGATAGTTGTACAATTTGCCTTGGGTTTTCCTTTCGTTTCTCATGGGAAATCCACACTAAACTCATGGGAGCAAGGGGCCTCGTTCCTTAACTTAGGGTTCCCTAGGTCAACGCCCCGACTGTATGGCGAAACCAGCGGTCCTTGGAAGCCCTTCCCCCTCCGTCCGCGCAGCGGGTTGAGAGTCCTGGCGAAAGATGCCAGGCGGCCAGGGCGGATCGGGCGAAGCTGCTGGCCCGCCCCCGCGGCACGTCTGGCGGTGCGACCGTCGGGCCGAACGAAAGGGGGGGATTGGGAAAGGGGGGGGTTACGAAATCTGCTGCATGCAGCTGGTTTCGGCCCCACCGAGGGGCCCATTCCTCGATACATAGCCGCCTCCAGCGCTGGGAGGCGCCGGGAAAATCAGCTACGTGAGCTGATTCTCAACTCCCCCCTTTGCTATCCCCCCCTGTCGCCCGGCCCGAGACTGGGAGGCGTTTCTCAAAAGCCCTGCGCCGTTCGGCTCACTTCCGAGAGCGGTGGAAGGGCGAATGTGAGTCTGTCCGCTTCCTGTCCCGTCTAGTAGCATTTGAGGTCCCCTTTCCTTTGAGACCGTGGGGGCCCTCTCGGAGCCGTCCTGGAGGCCATCTATCCAGGAAAGGAAGCTCTTCAATTGATGTCCCTTGCGTGGGATTCGAACGTTGTTTTTTTCCAGGCTCTGTTGCAGCGCTATTTAGGTGCTTCGGGTGGTCTTCGGGGCCGTCTTGGAGCCATTCTGGGCCCCTTTCTGGGCTCCCTTGGGCGATCTTGGAGGCACATTCGAGCACTAGATGCCGATTGGGAGCGAACAGGCGAGTGAGAAGGTATAAGTCATTCAACCAGCTTTGGCCAATTTAAGATTATGACCTCTCTGGGGTATCGTTGGGAGGCTCTGTGGCTGGTTGCTGCAGCAGTCTTGGGTCCATTGGCCGCATATGAGCTCTTCTGGAGCTTCCTCGGAGGGCATCTCGGGCATCTCGGAGGCATCGGAGGGTGGATCTAGAAGCTCTGTGGGCCTGGAGGGTGAGTTTGGGACCTTGCCCCTCCCCCCCCACCCCCCCTCGGGTGAGTGGTAATGGGGGGTCTAAAGCAGCACCCTGGGCACACTTCAGGGACACTTCAGGGACCCCTCAGGGGCTCTCTGTGGTGCTTCGCATCCTTCTGAGCATGTTCGGCGCGGGGACTGCGTCAGCGGTTCACCGCGCAGTGGAATCTGCGAGTTTGGGACCTTGCCCCCCCCCCCCCTCGCTTTCCCCGCCCCCCCCCCCCCAGACAGGACCACTCCCCAAAGCCTCCCGCTGTGGTCTGCTCTTGCGCGAAGCGAGGACGTCGGGGCCTCCGCGTGCCTTTCCCCACCTCTCCGGCAGCAGCGGGGGTCTGCGGGCCGAGTCCACATATCGGGGGCGGAAAAGAGGGGGGTGATGACTAGGGGGGGGGTGGATATCATGGCGTGGGCCATGATACTTCCCAAATTTCATGGCGCCTCTTCTTATCTCATTACGTTCCTGACCCCCCCGCTGGGCCGCGCACATGCCGCCGGTCATGATTTGCCCCCCCCCCCCCCCCCTTCTTGGACCCCCCCGTTTGGCCGCTCCCGAACATATCGACCCGACATCGGTGCGATCCCGTATCGGCCCCGGCTTGTTCGATTCGATTCACAGCAGGTGCGCTAACGGCCATGTGGGTAACGACGGTGTAGGTCGTGGTATTGTAAGTGGGGGTGGTTCGTGGCCAACCACATTGTAGGAAAGGCTGATTCGCGTTTGTCTGCAATCAATTCTGCACGAGTTCGGCGTCGCCGAAAAACGTTTTCCCAACATCGCCGTTAACCAACATCGCCGTTAGTGTGGCCTTGGATGCAATCCCGAAGTTCTGGCGATCCGATGCCAAGGGCGCCCTCGAGGCCGCGAAGTTATTCGCGCTTCGAGCTTCGCGGTTCTGCTCCGCTTCTTCCTCATCCTCCTCTTCTCCCTTTGGGGGCGGCACGAGAGCGCGGAGTTGTTCGCAGTTCGTGCTTCGCGCAGCGCGTAGCGTGAAGTTCAGAGCCCTTGGATAATTCTTGCGATCCGATGCGGCCCGATGCTTGCACAGACGCTGCTGTGCATCCTTGCGCGGCCGATCCGATCCGACGACTCCGTGCCGCTGCGGCCCGAGCCGACGCACATCCCGATCACCGGCGGCGAGCCCCCGGGTGGGGAACGCGAGGGAGCGGGCCCTCTCCGAAGTCAGGAGGGGACAAAAACACACAGACACAGTTACTCGTCGATCCCCAGGAAAACATGGGGAAGTATGGGCAGTGGGGGGGGAAGACAAAAAAAACCCAAACATATGGAAACATATGGGGAGTCTTTTTACTTGTGCGTATTTATTTGTGTGTCCTTGGGCCCCTTCGAGAAGGCTTGGAGGGCCT